AGCTGTAAGCTAATGATAGTTTTATAAGAGCAGATGCATGCTGGTGCAATAAGCTGTATGTTTTATGTCCAATGGATGCATGATCTGATTAGTCGACTAATCACAAAAATAATCGGTGACTAGTCGACTATCAAAATAATCGTTTGTGGCAGCCCTAGTTGCCACTGGGAGCATGTTTCTATGGTAACATTGGCATTTTGGTTTGTGACTTGACTCTTAAGCCCTGCACACGTACACTGTAATTGTCGCTTCATAGCTGGCTGGTGGCTGCTGGCCATGCCAGGTGTGCAGTTGTCTAGATCCCCTTCACTAATATCAGTCACTTCAGTCCTGCACTCTACGGTTGAGAATATCGGGAACTGCCCACTTTGCCTCTGTAAAGGGTTATTTCTCTTGTTGTCACTAGAAGTTGCCGGTAGTTTCTTCTGTTGAGTCACCACCGTAGTGTCTTCATAATATTTTATTGCATATTTGTTGATCCAGTTAGAGGAGGAGTGCTAAGTTATCAGCTAACGCAAGCAAGCTGAATCGAAAAGCTGTATGGGTGCATCACCAAGACAGAAACGAATTAAATAATAATAACAAACAGTGCAAATGTGGTTGAAAGGTCACATTCAGTGGTTTAAACTGACAGAGGTGAGGCCTAGCAGACAGCTATAGGCTCTGGTTACCTGACTCAGCATCCACTTATCAGTCAAAGCAGAAGCCCCGCTAAAAATATAGTTTTGGAACTAAATACAAGCTGAAATTGTGAGTTAAATAATGTCACCCCGTGGAGTTACACGAAAGTGAAACTGCTGGCGAGCGGTTGACGGAGGTTGCTGGCTGTTGCTACTGTAAATGAGATCAGTCACAAAAAGGTTGCTGCATCAAATATCTCCTTGTTATTGCTTTGGTTGCTACAGACCGGAAGGCGAGACTGCTCACCTGCAAAATAAAAGCTGTGCCTTATCTCAGAAAGCAACGTGCTAAATTCATTCCCTTTCTTGTTTTTGTTGCACTTTTTTTTAGTTGGAGATAAGTTGGTGTCTTCCATACAAACTACAGGAGACGGTGGCAACCAGTTGCAACCAAAGCAACTCTAAAGAGGCTTTTGGGGCAGAACTTCTTGGCAACAAGCTCTCACCAACTGGTTGGGGGGACACACATTTTTTCCTAGCAGCTGCTTATCATCAGGGGACTGACTGGTCTTTAGGTCCGTGTGGATGAGGTTTTCACAGCTACCAGTGGTTGCCCGGCAGTTGCCAACTGGTTGCTAACTATCTGACGAGGTTTAGCTATAGAGACTAAAACGTTTCTTTGCAGCAGGCTATAAACATGTTTATTTGGCTGTAAAGTTGGGAGAGTCTACGGAGACTGACTAATTTTTGGAGCAGAGTTTTTGGACGTTTTCCATGAACTAAAAGAAGCTTTTCTGTGTGTTTTCAGATGATTCTGATAGTTTTTAGATTTGTTTATTTAGTTATTAGGATAGAAAAATTCCCAACCCATAAAATAATTGGAAGATAAGTCAAAGAGTTTAAAAATGTTGTAAGTGTCAGTCAGTCTGTTTTCTGTCACATTTCCAACTTGAGACTTTGTAATTAAACCAGACCAGCGTGAGTCCTGTGCAACTGTGAAAATAAACATTCCTCTTACACGATTAGCTCCAGGCAGCTGCAGCATTTTATATTTCTTGCACAGAAGTCGAGCAAATGATGCAATTACAGTGATTGAGTGGTTTGTGCGCTACTTGCCAAGTTCCCACAATAACAAGTTCTGTAATTTTAACGTTTCCCTCTCTCTGTCATCCTAACAGCCGCTCTTCTCTTTTCTTCCAGGGCTGAAAAAACAGAAGTGCTGAGTGAAGATCTGCTGCAGGTACTAATGAGTCTTCATCGAATCTGTGTGTTTGTGCGAATGCTTTTCCTCTTTGGCTCGATAGTCACTGCTTCTCACAAGAAAAATCTCACAAGAAAAATCATTAGTGGAGCAAAATATTCAGCATGCATGAATTTTTTTGAAATATGTTTTGCTATTTTTAATGGCTTTCTGAACTGCCTTCGGGCAACATTAACGAACGCTGAAATTGAACCTCTTTGCGAGACAAAAAGTGAAACGTCCTTGCTGATTGATTTGGGGTGCGATATTGTAATTGATCAGATTAATGATGCTCTGAGTGGCAGACACATCGCTTCCACTCAGCTGGTTTAATAATGAAATGAGACGCATTGAAGCCCAACAGGTAATGGTGCGGTGTCATTCACACCAACTGAGAATGATGCTGTTTTAGTGGGGGAAAAGCTCTGATGGAAAGATGGAGTTTCTATTTTTAAATCTAACCCTGTTCTGGGTTGAGGTTTGAGTGCATGTCTGTAACTGAAGCTGACACAAGCTGTGCATTAGTGGAAGGAGCTCACAGTGTGTGCATGGTTCTGGCTGAGGCCTGTGCCCTGACTTTTCTGTCTTCCTTCCCTTCTGTGTGTGTTTCAGGTGGAGAAACGTCTGGAGCTGGTGAAGCAGGTTTCCCACAGCACACACAAGAAGCTGACCGCCTGTCTGCAGGGCCAGCAGGGCGTGGACGTGGACAAGAAGTCTGTCAGGTCGCCCTCGGTGAGAGAAAATAAACACTACAAATCTGATAAAACCTTTTTTTCATCTGGTATTTTAGCTGAGCTGACCAGTGTGGGCTTGTGTGCTGATCAAGGTACAAATCACATGATGTACAACCATATACATTTTTTTTTACAGCCTTAGTATTTTGGCCATGTTAGGTTGGAGCCATATTTATGATGGGGTAGGTTTACACATTTGCCTAACCAATAAACGGTCACTGGGAGGTCCAATTGTCACAAATCACGAAGTGTTGAACTATGTACAAGTTTTATTTAACTGAGGAATCTTTTAACAAAGCTAAGGAAACGAAAAACTAAGGCTCATGCCACGGGGGGAAACGAGGAGCGTGGAGCCCAGGAGCGCCGTAATCGGGACTGTGGGGAAACTGCAACAGAAAGGGGAGACACAGTTAACAGCACGCAGGTTGCCAAGAAATGAACAGCTAGACTTCATAAGTTGCCGAGGCTTACAGGTAGAGCAGGACCGTGGAGCTTGGAGGGGAGAGGTGCCCGTGAAGGGAATCCTAGGGAGGGAGGCAGTCAGGCAGGGGGACAGGCTTCCACGCCGAATGCTGGTCACACTGGGAGGAGATCTATGGACTGGCGAGGAGAAGCCGTCAGAGCTGGCTGAAGTTGTCCTCCGGTGATTGCCTCAGATGAGACGCAGGTGGTTTGGAGACGGCCCAGCCTGAGGGTGTGGCCACCGCAGCCTCACACGGCTCCCTGGATGCCGAGCCACAGGCCGTGACAGCAATCCTCAGAGAAGACGTGAATCTTTTTATAACTCATCCAAAAGTCCAACAACGACGGGACTTAGAAGAAACTTGAAGAAGAAACTGAAACTTAGAAGAAACTGATTGCTCATTTGACACCTTTCTACATATCCTACTGACTAATCTCACGTAGGGCAGCTTCTTTAGGCAGCTTTAGTCTGCATACATTTAATGGTTATCTGCAGGCCACTTTGCAACCCACTTCCACCTTCTACCTAGCTCATCCTTTCATGCTGGTTAATTCAGTGGCACATCTGCTGTCATTCATGCCTGCTCTGTTCTGTGCCGTGGTCTTGCTGCTGGTCTCTCTGCCTCTGGCTTTACATTTATGTATGTGAAAGGGCACTGACCAGTGACAGCAAACACTGTTGACGGACATATGACAAGTTGGTAAATGCGTTAGAGGGTTACCTAGGAAACCGGGGGTCTGGAATGTCCACTAGTGACCGATGGTTAGTAACACATGAAAAGCAAATCGAGTCCTGTGTGTACGCTCAAATGAATAAATCGATCAATAGTTGTTATACTGCAATGAAGTTTATGTGGTTAAATCTTAGTATACAAAGTAAAATGTTCCAGGATTTATCTGCCTTCTGGGCATGTTTTACACTTTATTTCTACAGTCAGAGCATGCTGCTGCTCTTCATTTGTTTTATTGACTTTTTTAAAAAAACATTGCATGCTAATCAATAGCAGTCACAACTTAATATTTATTGTTATATTTTAATGGAATAGAATTAAAATGAATTATTTTCTACCTATCCAGTTTTTCTTCATTGTGCTCTCAGTAATTTCATAACAACTCAGACTGAAAGTTTTCCTAATGACAAATTCAATTTTAAGAGTTTCAGAGAGGACAGAAGGACACTGACAGGTGATTAGCAACGGTATTGGAAAGCATGTTTCATCCTCCAGTAAATGTTTAAAAAAAACACACAGAGGAAATATTTTTCTGCAAACCAAGAGACTGAGTGACAAAATATTCAAGTGCTGCACAATAATGTGTCATTTGTGTTGTGGAAAGTTAATCTTTTTAATCCTTCACTGGATTAAAAAATGTTTTCATCCTAAAGCTTAGAGGAGCCTGAGATGAAGATGTTTTAAGATGGAACCAAGACAGTAACTCGTGAGAAGGCCAAGGAAAAAAAAAGAGAAAAATAAGCTTTTTTTTTTAATTAATTAATTAAAAATAAAATAAAAGTTTGCAAAAGTGATGGACTGATGTGACATGAGCACGTGTTTTAACTTCAGGTACTTATATTAAAGATAATTTATAATCTTCGTATGCCTTTATGGTGTTTTCTCTGTGTTTGTGGTTTTATTTATGAACTGCAGCTGATTCATCGACTGTTTGTGTTTCTGTGCAGAAAAAGCTTCCGCTCGCAACGCTAGCACAATGTATGGTGGAGGGGGCAGCTGTGCTCGGGGACGAGTCTCTGCTAGGGTAAACACACACACACACACACACATAGTAATTTACATTATTGTTGATCATCGATGAGACTGGAAACATTTTCTTTGGAAAGGCGCTGATGCAGCGAGGAACGTTTTTATGACCCAGAACTGAGTTGCTTTTCACATCCTGAGTATAATAATAATAATATCTGTAATGATATATAATGACTTTTTTTAGAAGTCACCTCGTTGGTGCAAAAATAGTATTTTATGCCTGTCAGACGGCTTCAGCTAAAGAAATGAGAAGAAATTATGTGTTTTTGCAACAAGCAAGGTTCTTTGCTAGTTAATAATTGTTTATTATGTGCAGATACATCACTGGTTTAATGTCTGAGTTGCATTTTTATTGCTTGATTGAGTCACGAGTCACTTTAAGTGACTTAAAACAACAATTTGAAAATGGTTAGGTACAAGAACTGGACTGAGCATGAGTGAAAAAGCAGCCAGTGTCCAACTTCAGATATTTTAGAAGCAAACTATAAAGAAATGAGGGGTGACACAAGACTTTTTCACAGTGATTTAAGAGAAACCTCAATATTACAAACCAGGAAGCGAGCCGTAACACTGACTGACCTGCGTATGTTGCACTCGGTGAATCCGCTGTGATGTTTCCTGTTGCAGAAAGATGCTGAAGCTCTGCGGCGACACGCAGGAAAAGCTCGCTCAGGAGCTCATCTTGTTCGAGCTCACCATCGAGAGGGACGTGACCGAACCCTTGTACGAGCTCGCAGAGGTACAGAAACAATGCCGTGCGACTAACTGTTTAATAAATGAGCTCCAGTCACATTAACAGCAGTAACAGCAAGCATCTGATTAGAAAAGGAGTCCAAAATGCGTCCTGGTAAGAAAAAGTGGAAATATAATTGTGACATGATGAGTATCTGAAATTCAACAGGGTAGAAAAACATTATAAAAATGGTTTATTTTTCATTATTTTTTAAATAAAAAAATAGAAAAGAAGGAAAGGGGGCGACAAGTAATTCACACGAGGTATGAGCTGTTTCAGCATGACAGGACTGTTGTGTAGTTTTGTTCATTAAGGTGCCCTGTATCTATGAATAAAATACTTTGAAGTGATAAAAAGTTAGAAACTGATAGCAAGAAGATCTTCCTGCCTCCAGTCCCCAAACACGGGACTTGTCTGATGAACTCTACTTATTGCTCTGCAAATTAGCCAGTAAGCTAATCTCCATGAGAACGAGAAAGTGCTGCCCAGACTGATTCTGCTGCTACAGGTGCAAAGCCTCTCACAATACTGAGGCTGTTTGTTGTCCTCTTTCACACTAACACAGCAGACTGAAGGAAAATCTCTGCTCTGCCCTCTCAGGTGGAAATCCCAAATATCCAGAAACAAAGGAAACATTTAGCGAAGCTGGTCCTGGACATGGATTCTGCACGCACACGGTGAGCGCGTTTCTCTGTGTGTGAGTGTGTGTGTTTGTTTGTGTGTGTGAGAGAGAGGCTTGGCTGTTATCGGAGAAACTCCATCAGCTGTGAATGGACTGGCTGTGCAGCTTCCCACTGAATGTCACTGGGATTTTGTTGCACACCGTGACGCTGCCGTCTGTCTCACACCGCAGACTGCTGCCCGTGTGTGAAAACCTCACTTTAAACCAGACTGTCCTTTTTCTCTGTAACGAACACACTCAGTGTGGACCTTCATACTGATGTCTGTAGCTGTTACACTCGTGCTTCAAATACCACAGACCACTGGCTGATTCCTCCTCACACTTCCTGCTAAACAGATTGTGTATCAGTGTGAAGGTGTTTAAAGCAATAGGCTCAAACACTGAAATGAAACCTTTACTTCCTGAGCTGCTGTAGAAGCGGACTTTTATTTTGAGGGTGCTGTTTATCATTTTTGACTAGAACTAAATGCTAGTGGACAAAATTGGATAGAAAAAAGGCTTTCTAAGACTGATTTTATGGCCGTGCTGACATAAGGAGTGCTTTATATCAGATTATAAAATTAGAGGACGCATGTAGCTTCCTGCAGTCTTTCTAATAGTCAGCAGGGGGCGACTCCCCTGGTCACAAAAAGACATTTGTTCTATAGAAGTCTATGGGAAAGCAACCATAGACTCCCTTGATCTGTGACCTCAGGAATTGTTTTCCTGATTAGTTTATGGATTTAAATAATTCCTTTATTTACAGTCCAATGAGATACAAAAGCAACTTCTCCTTAGAAACTTGGTAAACTAATTAAAATTTAAAGATAAAATATCTGCCAATATAGCTCATATAGTGTAAATTGCTGAAGATGAGGCTGTGATTGTGAGCTTTATCGGCTGCAGTGAGGTAGTCCAAACATGATGGGCTCATTAAGCGCTCGTATGTCTCTGGGTGTTCGCGAGGAGGGGTTCAGACAGGCTGTGGGATGCATGTGTGGGGTTCACACAGATACTGGTGGCTTTGCTGAGGCGGCGTGTGTTGTAAATGTCCTCCATGTACTTCGATGATCTTCTGTGCTCTTGATGCATTTTGACACTACTGTCATATCTTAATAAGAACAACATCATTTTCAGTTTTTAAATTATGGTCCCCATTAGTGTCCAGAAAGGCAGTAAAGCAAGGTATGTCCACGATATGAGCATGGACTGTCCCACGGTTTCTTGCACGTGATGTCTGGTTTCAAAAAGCTAAGGTGGCAGCTGTTCGAGGCTTCGCAAATGTGGCCTCTCAAACCAGTCGACTGCATCCAGCTTTAATATATACACATGCATTAATAACTCACCACATAATCCGTTAAAATGTATATTTTGCTCTGCAGAGGATTGGTCTGATGTCTCACAGCTGCACTGGCTTTGTAACTTTGAGGGTTTTTATGCAGCTATTTCTTAACTTCAGTTAACTTTCAGGTAAATTTAACTTTTAATGGCGTCTAGGTGATGCAGAATAAAGTCAGTAGTGCCTGATCCTGTTTGAAACGTGCAATTGCCACAGTTTCTTTCAGCTGATTCACTGCCATTTTGAACAGTGACATGCAGAAATGTTGTTTTCCTCACTGCGGTCCAGCCAGCCAGTTCTTTAGTGACCCAAATCTAAAGCAATTTTTCCCATTATGCTGCTGTGTGCTGAGCTCCTCTGGCAGTTCTACATATTATCTACACTGACAGACAGATGGATGGAAGGGGAAGAGGAGAGTCTGAGAGCAATACTTAAAAGACAAAACAGCTTAAGCTGAATAAATGAGGGTATATAGAAAGACAAGTGTTAGTATTTTGTCAGCCACAGACTTAATCCATTGCCTTCAACAGTTTGATTTGTTTATGTGAGTCACTTTGTTAAAGTAGCTGTCAAGTCTCGCTGTCAATGCTTTTCTCACTCGGGAACAAAAGTCTAGATCTGCTAAAGGCAAAGAAAAATGCCTTCTAACAGTTGAACATGCTGCCCTAAAAAAATCCTGACTACTTTTGTGACTCAAATTCACTTCTTACTGAAACCTACCTTCTGCTCACAGGTACTCTCAGTCTACCAAATCTTCGGGACTGTCCAGCAACCTGCAGCCAACAGGAGCCAAGGCCGACCACCTCAGGGAAGAGATGGAGGAGGCAGCCAACCGCATGGAGATCTGTCGAGTCAGTGATCACTTTTTATCCCAATAAACTAACTAACATAGCGCCAGTCTATCTATCCATCTATCTATCTATCTATTAGGGGTGCAATGATACTCGTATCGATATTGAACCGTTTGATACAGTGCTTTCAGTTTGGTATGGAACAATACAAAATTTTTAATTTATTTTATCAACTTTTCTTCTGACGATGCTGTCTGTGTTGAGCGCTCAGTGGATCTGCGCTCGACAGTGCAGCCTAGGCGGAGTAGTCGAAGGCAGATTCACTGAGCGCAGGGC